TTCCACTGTCTGACCACAATAATTTGATTCTTAAATCAAAGTGTCTCCTAAACACTTTGGAAAAGTTGAATAAAGTACAATTCTGAGGCTTTTATAAAGTACTCCTTATTGATACTACACACTTGAAGTAATACTCCTAATGGTGTCTTGTCTTTGGCTCTAGACCATCCCGCTGTCTTTAATGTATTTATTTTCTGAGCATCAGCCCTTTCCTCACTCCATTTTTCCTATTTACACTACGGGTGTAACTTTTCTTATCGCTCTGCTGTATTTAGCCTCAGAGTGAGTGAAGGGAGTGTGCAGGTCAGCGCAGAGGGGAGTTACGTCACCCTCCTCACCCTCCTCACCCTCCTCACCCTCCTCACGGCCGCTGCTACATGGGGATGTCCACCTCTGGTCCACCTGCCATTGTGGTCCAACCTCAGTGTATGTTAGCAGCCTGACTGGAGACTGTCCTCTCACTGTCACCAAAGAAAAAACATTCAGTTCCATTTGACACTGATGCTAAATATCAACTGTGTAAATATAGATTTCTATAGATTTCAAGTTAAACAAAAACATATCAAACGTTAGCACTGAAATAAATCAAGCTCAACCCAAAATACTGTAAAATAATAATAATATAGCTGGTAGCAAAATGCTAACTTAAGCTCTGCACAGAAATAGGATCCATAAACCAAACATTTTTAAGGACAACAACCAACATCTAGTGTCAACAAAGTCTAAGTTAGTTTAAAAATGGCTTCATGTTGGCCCAGAAATGGCTGAAAATAAGCATAGAAAAGTGTAGCTGTTTATACATTAGCCTAAAGATAGTTAGGATTAGGCTTACATTAAAAACAAAAACAAAAAACAGGCTGATTTTTCAGTTTAAGACTGAGACAGAACACAGACAGCCTGAGTACCAGTTCACCAAAGGTCCTGCCGTTGGTGAACTCCTGGTCTTGGAGAGACACAGTTTGTGACACTAAGATCAAATGACACCTCGGACTCCATCTGCTCCACATCCAACTGACATTCCCCGGTGATTAGACACGCAGTTATAGTGAAGAATGTGGTCTGTCCTGAAGGTACTGTTTGAATTTCACAGGACACCCCAGGCCTGAAGCGTGTGTGTGTGTGTGTGTGTGTGTGTGTTGAATTCATCCAGAGCTCATCTGAGAGTCAGACAGAGCAGAGGTCAAAGTCGTTCTCTTTATTTCCCCTCGCTCAGGAAATGGGTTCCATTTAAGTCTTTTCATATGTTAATGCAGACAAAGTCTCTCATTAGTGTGTGTTCAGGAGCTCTTTGCAGACCTGAAAGGAAGACACTTGATAAAATAATTATTTAACATTTAACAAGGTTTAATTACCGTTTTTGACAGATCTCGTGTTGAGGTCATTTATTGTTGACTTTTTTTACCTTTTCTTTTTTAGCTCTTGTGTTACATCGAGGTCAGGTGTTTGAAGAGGTGTCTTCTTATTCAGATAGTGAACATTCTGTTTGGCCTGGTTGTATACAAGAGAAAGCACTGAATTGTTTCCCAGTGAAATTCCACAGATAAGATCAGAGCTGGAAGCGTTGGACCAGGTGTTACTTCATGGAATTCTAATAATACGGTCACGTGTTCAGCTGTAATACCACACCTTTACACTGTCCACCAGTTCTCCTCACTGTACTCTGTCCCAGCTTCTTCTTTTATGATTTTATGACTGTGCCGTGACATAGGTCTAATATGTGTCGTACCTGTGTTTAGATGACGAGGAGGCGCTGAACTCCATCATGAAGGACCTGGCTGCTCTGGGTCGCTGCTACACCCAACAGCAGCCCAGAAGCAGAACTCTCCTCTACAAACAGGTAGGGGGTTCATTTGTCCATTTGTAACAATTATAGACAGAAGTGTTGGCAAATGTTTGCTATTGGCAACTGACAGAAGGACCAGAAATAACTTTGAGCTAGCATTCAAATCAGTGAGAAAAAAGAAAAAATTATCATAATAATAAAAAAAAATAAAAATTAAAATATAATATGTGTATAATACATTTTTTAAAAATTTTTAATTTTTAATTTTTTAATTTTTAAAAAATATTTTTATAATAATAAAAATATAAAAAATAAAATAATAATAATAAATTATTAGCATTAAGTGTAGCATGTAGAGCTAAAGTTAAGCCAAGATGTCTGTCAGTCAGTGTATTAAATTAAATAGAACATTTAAATATAATCTTAGCCCAGATGCTAACAAGATAGCCAAAACATATAGAAAGTTAGCTGAAAGTGGCTTGAAATTCAAAACAACACAAAACAATTATGCTCAACTAAATTGCAGTGTCATGTTGGGCCACAAAAGTTGAGTTTTTAGAGAAAAAAATCATGGGCCACATAAAACATGTCAACAACATATTTACTGTCTTTCCGCTGTTCATGTTGCTATATTATTATTTCCTAAGTATGTAGTGTTATAGCTCTGTAAAAAACAAACATTAAAAGGACATGTTTTGGATTTTGTTTTTTTTTATCTTACTCATAAAACTGCAGGACTCCAGGATTTTAATTCCCTTCAATCACCTCCTGCCTCTTTGGTTTGTTCCTTTCTACCCTGGAATGATAATTGTTGAAATCCTCTTAAAGTCCTAGTGTTTATGATGAGACGTAAACAGAGAGTGAAGAGCAAAAAAAAAAAAGGGTTTCCACTCTGGCTGCGGCTGTCGCCGCCGCTGCAGCCTGTTTTACCCCAGCATCCTGAGCTGATACGATGGCAGGGCAGGTTTATCAGCATGACCTCACGCAGACTCACAGGCTCCTCTTGATTCCTGCTCCTTTGGGTAATGGCATTAAAAATAGCAAACAAAACATTGTCTGGTGGCATCTGTGGAGTCGTTTCAGAGAACAGAATTCAGCCCAAATAAAGAAAAAGTCATTATAATGATTCTGCATGTTGTCACTTAAATTTTATGTCCAGTCTTTCTGCTTTTCAGTCACAAACCCTGAATCATTTTCAAACTTTCCGCTTCTATGACCAACCCCACTGTTCTTATTTTTCCTCTCTGCAGGATGTAAGAGTCAAGTTGGAGCATTAGAGAGAAAAAAGGTATGTTTTTTTTTTCCCTGGGTCTTAACGCCTCACTTTAGATCCGTCCTCTTGATGTCAGAGCAAAGTCACCACGGTTTACATGCCAGAGAAACATAAAGAGGAGGGGAAAATATTCCTCCTTCTTTGACATTTAGTCCAGTTCCATATGTTTCGGGCCTGCACTGGTCACATTTGAGAGTGAGGGAGTCGAGGAGTCAGTGAGAAAGTGCCAAGGGCTGGAGTTCAGTGTCCGGTCTTCCAGACACACCCTGGGTTAATTCGTCATAGTCTGTGTTTTCTTGTGCTTCCATCTGTCCTCTACATTAGAGCTGCAGATATCGATCTTTTTGTTATTGATTATATTGTTGCATTTTATTGATTAATTGATACATTCTGATATGAGACAATATTGTCCACTTTATATTGTGGCTCACTCCTGAACACTATACACCCATTTCTACAGTACAATATCCAAACACATATTACACGTACCACGATTTCAATAAAAAAAACAAGCGTACCATTATAGCATTGCACAATCCCAATCACGTCTAACTCACCTTTGTTACTCATTATAGCATTGCACAATCCCAATCACAACGTCTAATGGAGTTTGGCACAAACTCACCTTTGCTACCGTTAAGTTTGTATTAGGTTATTAAAGTAATGCCGGTCAGTAAACTCCTTCAGTCCGATCATTCTTACATTCAAACGACAGTGAAATAGTTTTATTTTTCTCTCCTCCCTCTACAGCTCGTCACGGTTGCTCGACAGTCTCACAAACATTTTTTCCCACTAGGTTGCTTTAGAGTTTGTTTGGATCACTCTTAAAGAGAACAGTCTGCTGAAAAAAAAGAGAAGCTGTGAACAGGGGAAGCTTTATTTGGTGCTGAGCAGGAGGGCAGCTCCATCCCTCCATGTAGGGATGTTTAATGAGTCTCTGCTGCTGGTTTACGTCGAAGTTCACAAACATCGACTGTCCTCATGAAACCTCTGAAGGTGGGGGGGGGGGGGGATGTACTGTAAGAGGCAGACTTACCAGAAAGTATGATAAATAACTTCTTTGATTCATTAGACAGTGGCTTCACTTTTTTTTTTGCTGACAGCCAAGGTCTAACTGGATGGTGGGCAGAGAGCCAGAATGCCCACAGTGGACGTTACAACTCAACACTGTCCTGTGGAATGTTATCAAAGTGAAGTGGTTTCAAGAGAGAAAAAAAACTCAAATGATGTGGTTGCCTTTATATACAGATATGTATAGACCAGTCATGTTCAACTTTGTCCTGAAACTTGACTTTCATTGATTTTCATCTTTCACTGAAACAGAGTCATGACCCAGGATCAGATTAAAGAGGGGGATTTTAAGGCTCACTCAGTGAAGATGGCAAAAATAGCTACAATGATTGTACAAATGAGCTAACTAACTAACTATAGCTACAATGATTGTACAAATGAGCTGCTAACAAGCATTATTAACTATTAGCACTTCATTCAAATGCTAAGTAAATGACCTTACACTAAGTCTCAAAACATCTGGGAGTTTCTTTTCCTCTCATTCCTGAAGATGCCATTCATGTCTTTGAGAAGAATCTTTTTTTTTTCCTCTTCACTTCAACTTTTTGCTTTTTACTCCCAGTCTGATCTGAAATCAGATTTATCAACAGAGAACTAGGTCCTGATCTAGACTCTTTTACTTCATTATTTTGTTCCTGTTCACAGTTGGTTTAACCGTGGCCAACAGCACTTATATGGACAGGCAGCTTATTTTCTATCTGTCTATGGTCAGACAAAAAAAGAGAAATGAATATCTGCATTCCAAATAAGGGAGTGTTTGATCACAGTTTTTTTTCCAACAACAGAGTAAGAAGCAGTGTAAAATCTTGAAAAAAAAAGTTTAAAAAAAGCTAATAAATTGAAGCTCCTTTGAACCGTAAATCTACGAAACTACACAAAAATCCAACATTTACTGAATAATTAACCATTAGCAGGAAAATTAGGGAAAACAATAACAAGCTTTAGCAGAGTGATAGCTTAAACTACAATTTCTGCTATGATTGACCGCAGGTCAGAGCCAAAACAGCAGAAGAAAAAATACTTAAATATAACCAAAGCAACAAACTAACATCCAGCACAAGTGGCTAATGTCAGCCAGGACGATAGCAGAGGTTTTCAGGATAAATGACTTAAAATGTGATGAAACCTGAAGTTGTTTGATTTCATTAACAACTTCTCCTGATAACTCTGTGGCCTTTGGCTCAGAGGAGACGGCAGAGTCATGATAACACTCCCTGTTGTTGAGTCTCGTGTTCAGGCTGTGGACGAATGAACAGACCCAGAGTCAGGGGGAGGGTTCGATGCTGAACTCAGAGAGTTCTGTTGTCTTTTTGTTGGAGAGAGCTGAAGGTCTGTGGACAGGAAGTACAAGCTGGATGTCTCTCCGTGTCTCCTCTCCCCTGCTCTTTCTCTCCCCCAGGCTGTGCCTCAGGGTCTCCTGCCAGAAGAGTGCAGGAACAGAGCCAGACCATTTTTCTTCTGTGTATACATGATTTTGACTGACAAAAGAGAGAGAGAGTGAGAGAGAGAGTTTGTGTGTGTTTGTGTGCGTATGCGGGCACATTCTTTTCAAATTGCAAATCTTTCTGCATCCGTGAGTGTGTGTGTGTGTGTGTGTGTGTCTGTGTCCAGAGGAAGGAAATCCATATCTTTTGGAGCAGCATCCTTACTCCCCTCCTCCTCCTCGTCCACATCCCTCCAGCTCTTTATCAGACACATCATCTCCGAGTATAAACACAGACGGAGAGTTGTGCGTCTGCTGGCCTCTGATCCTCGAGGCCTCTTCCAAGAATCCCGTCGTCAAATGAGCCAAGCGGTGACCGGCCATTAAGATAGGCTGAGCGTTTGGCCAGTGATGAGGAAATGATGACAAGGAAAACACGTCCCTTATCAGGATACTATGAAGAGATAGGCCCGTCAGAGAGTATTCACAAACGCAAAGTAAGAGAATACGGATAGAAAAAGTCGAGGAAAAAAACTCAGAGAAAGAGAGAGAGAGGGAGAGAGAGCGAATCCCCTTTGTCTCGTTCTTTCCTGTATTTTCTCAGCCCGTCTCTTGTTTTTTTTTTTCTCTCTCTCTCTCTCACAGTCTGTAAATATCTCCGCGTCTCAGTATCTTTCACTCTGTCGCTCTTTGAAAGAGCAGGGAAAGACACACATCCTGCCGCTTTTTC